AGTAACTTCACTTTATGCAGGAGGCTGTCCAGGCCCAAATTTGGGCATGGGGGAGCATGCCCCCCCATGCCCCATTTTGGCTGCCAGAGTGCTGCAGGAGTCCGTCCTTCACTCAGAAGGTTATAAAAGGGAGGAAAGGTAAAATATTTTATCTTTCAGGCTTTCAGGATTCTGCTTTTATACCCTATGTCAATAATGTATTGTTCTAGTATTCCTATGGAGTCAGTTTTTTGATCTGAACTCTCTCTCTCATAGGGTGATCAAGTAGATCAAGTATGTATTAAAAAACAAAATCACAGAAATGTATGCCTCTCTATTTTTATAAGTGTATAAAACCATATGTGCGGAGGTGTGGTCCCGTGTCATGTTCACCATGGCCACGCCCACCATGATGATGCCCACCGTGGCCATACCCCCCACCCCCCACGACCCTACAAGGTCAAACACAACCTTGATGCAGCCCTCAATGAAATCGAGTTTGGCACCCCTGGTCTATAAGCTTCTCTGAAATGTAACTTGGTGAAGACCCATAATTTCTATAATCTCATCAACAGCCTCAAAGTTTAAAATCTTGTAATCATGGGCATGCAAGGAAAACCAGTTTCTTCCTCAGAATTACCATTAAAAAAAAATCAAGGACCTGAATAGATAAAATACAAGCAAATTCCGAGAGCTGAAAAATGGGGCTCAGTGCTGAACTCAAGTACCTAATCTTTTTTCAATGGACTGCTTGTAGTTGATTTCACACAACTCTCACCAAAATTGTCTTGTCTGATCTTAGGCTGTTAATTTCCTACTTTGCAAGTTTTAATCCTCACCCAATCCCATTGAGTGATACAAGATTTATATTGATATTTTTAGAGGTTTATAATGGTGCTTTTTTCACATAAAGTTTTTTCAACTTTCTCTAAGCAAGCTTATGCCATATGATGTGAATTTGCACCACAATTATCTTCTGGTTTAATAGCCTTAATTTTGTTAAGACTGTGTTAGAAAGATTAATACAGGTTGAAGATATGATTGTACTTTGGAACAATACACCCACCCAAAATATTAAATTTAATACTATATGTAGAAGCATAAAAGCAGCAAAAGGTTATTCTCTGATGTTGTAAAGATAGTGAGAGCTTTACAATATGTGTTTATTTTCTGTTTATGAACTGGCTCATTATTGGTATAATGCAAAGATTAATCAATACCATTCTGTGCAATCAAGTTTTAATGATATGTTTAAAAATGAGCTATTTCTTTTCAGTGTGTAATAGAATAAGCTTTTGATTTCTGGTTTTTTTTTTCTGTTTTCCTTTTTTTTCCTCCCTCTTTATTCACCCAAGCAATAAAATACATTACAAATAGGTAATCCTTGAAGTCCTGTACAAACTGACATTGTTTCAGAGACTTTACTGAGTCCAAGTCACACCTTGAAAACTTGTACTTGTTAAACCCACCTGAACAAAGCTGGCTTTAAGCAGGTCTGGCCTCTTAAACTTCTGCTTAAATTGCCTTTCATTCTAGCCAAGCAATCTTACATCCTGTAATCTTCTGATATCCTCATCAACTTTAGTTGCAACATACTCTTTGGTCCCCCTTCTCATCTAAGGAATGTCTTTGAGTCCTACCATGACAAAATGTACATGGGATAAAATCTTCTAGAAGATGCTATAACATCTGGCTTAGTACTAAGATTCTTGATGGTTCGGTTAGTAAAAAACACACACCTTATTTTTATCCCAAAATTATAGCTTCCAGCTTTCATACAGCATAACACAACAGGAACTCTTAGAAGTTTGGCAATTTTCATGCTTTGTACTGCCTGCAGTAAAAAGAAAAAAGAAAAAGAAAGAAAGAAAGAAAAAGAAAGCAACAGAAAGTAAGCCAGCATTTATATACTTTACTTCATTCAAAGGAGATAACTGGTGGATAAAGTGTGAGTTGCCCTTTAGGACACAAAATAGGTTATTAGAGGAACAAGGTGATATCATGGATATGAATCCACTGCCAATGTATAGTTAATTCATATACTAAATATTAATTTAACATATTGAAAAAAATGTTCCAAAAGATCACAAGATAAACGATAAACATGTAGGCAAGGTTCCAGTTTGTGATTGCACTAAGCATTAGGGGAAACACTGTTACCATGAAATCCTCCTCACTCTTAAATCAACTTAATAAATCTTAACAGTACTGGTTAAATGTTTTGATTGCATTCTAAGATAGCAATAGCACTTATATACTGTTTCACAGTGCTTTACAGCCCACTCTAAGCAGTTTACAGAGTCAGCATATTGCCCCCAACAATCTGGGTCTTCATTTTACTGACCTTGGAAGGATGGAAGGCTGAGTCAGCCTTGAGCCTGATGAGATTTGAACTGCCAAATTGCAGACAGCAGAAGTAGCCATTCTAACCACTGTGCCAACCAGGGCTCTTAAGATACTAGAAGGATTCACGCAGCCTAATATTCATGCAAAGTGGAGAAGTTTCACTTAGAAGTTTCAGTTGTCTGGTTTTGCATTGGACAGTAAGTGTAGAGTTAAACAGAACTTCTGTGAATATAACAGAACTTCTGAGTTGCAATAAACATTAGTCTCAGAAAAATATTGGAATAAAAGCAGACTGTTTTTATACTTACCAGTGTTTCAGATCTAATTTAAAAATCTAATAAACTAATCCACCCTTCTCTAAACCAGGAAAATTTGTGGGATCCCAATGTTTTTCATTAATGGAAAGTTCACCCATTCATAAAGTGGTTCGTGATGTTGTACAATTCCAATTTTTAACAAAATACACTAGGAAATGTTTGCTTCCTTTGACATAGCAAATGCTTTGAAAGATATCAACAGTGGTAGTGGCTGCCCTTTTTCAAAGTAGTTTGTACATAAAAATGGTAGGCTTTAGATTTTGCAGTCATGTCAATATCTTGACTTTGTGGACCCCAGTGGACAACTAAAAGAAGTTAGTAATGATTTGGTAATATATCAGTCTGTTGGCTTTCATAGGTAGGACAGAAACAAATGAGAATTAGTGAACAATAAAATTTGAAGGTGACAACCAAAGTGTAATAACCAAACTATTATGATATTTCAGATGTATCTCATTGTGTCTACAAAAATGTTAGATATGTAGAAATGTTGATAGGCTATTCTGTCTTTGAATGTGGAAACTCTTAAAGAATTCTGAGTCTGATTAGGTAACTGCTGCAAAAAAGGGAACTTTTTTGTATTTGAATCTGCTGCCCAGCCCTAATATTTATCACTCCATTAGATTCAGAATTATTTGAGAGTTTTCACGTTCAGAAAAAAATGGCCAGAGAACAACAGAAAAAAGTTCTGAAGAGAAAAGAGATTTGGATTAGCTTAAGGAAATCAAAGAAAAAAATACAATGTTATCTTGGGATAACATTGTAGACATAACATTGTAGACATAATGAGGTACATCTGGAATATCATGATCATTATTTACTACACTTTTGATGTCACCCCCCAAATTTATTGTTCACTAATTCTCATTCATTTCTGTCCTACCTATGAAAGCCAACCGTTTGATATATTATCAGGCCGAAACATTATTAACTTATTTTATTGAATATGCCTTTCAATTGACTTTTTTGCATAAAGACTTTTTTATCAGCAATCAGATCATACACCAAAGGTTCATTCTTGGCAGTAAAAGCCTTTTTATAGCATTACCTATATCAGACTGTATTTCCTACTGGAATCTCAGAAGCCCTTCTTTATGAGTTAAATTTCATGCAGAATAAAGTAAAATATAACATTAGGTCTAGATGCTTACTGATTCATTGCAAAGCTAACACTAATGTTTAGAATTTCAGAGTTAAATCACAGCTGTAACTCAATTCAATTAAAATAAAACCTCTTTCTCGGTATCAGAGAATAATATACATTGTAAGAATGCTATGTGAGAAAAACAATATCACAGCAAAAATATGGTATTCGTTGCATTTAAGGAGTAAACCAGAAAACTAGTTTGCTGTAGTTTTAGTGCTTAAAAGTACTAAAAGAAAAGCTGGAAAATGAAATTCTAACCCTGCCTTAGATATGGAAGCCAACTGAATGACCTTGGACTGGTCATTCTAGCTCAGTCCTGGGGGGGGGGAATCAATGGCTAACCACTTCTGAAATTGTTGTCAAGATAACTTGCCTAGGTGGTTGCCAAGAGGGAAAACAGAGTTGAATGTCTGATATAATTATTACCTTTTTTCCAAGAGTTTGTAGGTTCCAATAACCTATAATAAATTCTCAATGCTCTACAATCACATGGGGGGGGGGGAATGCTATAAACAAAACCATCATTGCATAAATTGTTCATTAATTATGAATGAACTGAGCTATCTTTTCTTCGCTTCTTCATACCTCAATTAATTTGCAAAAGTTCAAATGATATTAAGGTGCCTGAATATGATGCCAAATACCAAGTTTAGAAATGATGATGCCATTCCCCCTCTACCCACCAATTCCAGCAATCAGGAAGGGAACAAGCCGTACTTTATCTTCTCTTAGTGCTGACTGAATTTGACACTTATGTATATTTCACTTCCATTTCTCCCTTCCCGTCTAGTTTCTTTTTGGGTCACCTGCCAATAATTTTATGTGCCTTAAATCAAGAATAAGCAGGAGGTTGTAAGCTGCCAGTAAGGCCATCTGTGATGAAGTCAAGCCCACAAAATGTGCAGAATATATTTTTGCTTGAATTATCAATGGAAATGGGCACTCCAAGGGACAATGGTCATCTATCTGAAATGTGTGACTGCATAGCGCTGTTCAGAAAAATGTAGCCCATTTCTCTCCCTCCCTCTCTATTCTTTTCTAATACCAGGCATTCCCCAACTTCTGCAGGAAGAAAATGTTTCTGTGGCATATAAATCTCTGTATTAATTAAACATAAATCAAGGAATGCTGAGCTCATAAACAGCTACAAAGATTTTTTTAAAAAAAAAAATAATATAATCTCTAAATGTTCCTTTCTTGTCCAATATTACCTGTGCATCAATGAAATGGAATAGCTGAGATTTATCTGTTAAATAGAAAAAATGTACCATGTGCTTATTGCCATGCATAAAGACATGAAGAAAAATTCATTCAACCATTATTTGCAATAATATAAAATAAATAACTCAAGAGGACAAGATATGGACATGTTTTTTTCAGTTGTTTAGATATATTGATTTCAAATGACATTGTTCTTTTAGAGTTTCACTCTATTCATTAATGATTTTTGTCAGCAATATTGAACAGCTGGAAGAAATTAAAGATCATTGGTACTGCCTGGCTTTTTGGGTTATAACAAATTAAGAGAAATTCAATTCAATATATTTGGAAAAGATATCTACTGTTTATCTTACAGTATTTGAACATATAAACCCATTCTTAATTGCCCATCTTTAAATTTATTTATTTCTGTTGTTGTTAAATTTATATCCCACCTTCCCTCCAGGAACTGAGCTCAACCTACAATACAGGGCTTTGCCTTCCTTATATTTTTTCTTTCTTTCTTCTTACAATAATCCAGTAGGCTAGGGTGGAGCAAACTAAGGTAGGGTAGGATAGGATAGGATAGGATAGGTTAAGTCAGGGGTGTCACTCTGGGCCAGATGCGTCATGCACTGGCCATGCCCACCCCCAGTTTAACGAAGGGAGGGAAAGTTGTGACACATCACGTGATGACAATGTGACACTGAGTTTGACACCCATGGGTTAAGTAATAGATACCAATTCCTGACTATTCAGTGAGTAACAATGGCTAAAAATAGATTTGTTTGTTTGTTTATCAAATTTATATGTCCACCCATCTCACGAAAAGTTACTCTGGGGAACATACAACAAATTATAAAAGAGAAAATATATAAAAAGTAGTCATTATTAAAAAGTTTTTAAAAAATAACAAGGCATAAAAGAAAATAGATATCAATAGCAGTAATTGGGGACACTTCAGCAACTCCTGGTTTTCTTGGGACATCCAGGCCAGGTATTGAAGGAAGTCAACAGAGATGGACTGAACCTCACTTTGGGGTGAGGGAATGTTCTACAAGGAATGCACCACAGGAAGGAAGGCCACCTCTTGGTAGTTTTATTTATTTATTTTTATTTATTTATTTATTTGATTTGTCAATTGTTTACAAGATAATAAGTACAAGTGTATACATAGTTGTGAATATATGAAATGGGTACATATAAGAAAAATAAAAGAATAAGAGAAACAATAGGACAGGGACGGTAGGCACGTTGGTGCGCTTATGCACGCCCCCTACAGGCCTCTTAGGAAAGGGGTGAGGTCAATAGTAGACAGTCTAAGGTTAAAGTTTTTGGGGTTTGGGGAAGAGACTACAGAGTCGGGTAGAGTATTCCAGACATTGACCACTCTATTGCTGAAGTCGTATTTCCTGCAATCAAGTTTGGTGCGGTTTACTTTGAGTTTGTATCTGTTGTGTGCTCTTGTGTTGTTATGGTTAAAGCTGAAGTATTCATTGACAGGTAGGACATTGCAATGTATGATTTTATATACCATGCTTAAGTCGGACCGAAGACGGCGTAATTCGAGGTTTTCTAGTTTTAGAATTTCGAGTCTGGTGGCGTAAGGTATTCTATAACGGGTAGAAGAGTGGAGAACTCTTCTTGTGAAATACTTCTGGACTTTCTCAATTGTGTTAATATCACATACGTGATAAGGATTCCAGACTGATGAACTGTATTCGAGTATTGGTCTAGCAAATGTTTTGTATGCTCTGGTTAGTAGTGAGATATTACCAGAGAAAAAGCAACGTAGGATTAGGTTAACAACTCTTAATGCCTTTTTGGCTATGTAGTTGCAGTGAGCTCTAGCACTTAGATCATTAGAGGTGAGTATTCCCAGGTCCTTTACAGAGCTTGGGTCATCAACAAGATCTTGACTATTCAGCTTGTATTTTATTTTCTGATTTTTTTTACCAATATGTAAGACAGAGCATTTGTTTGTTGAGATTTGGAGTTGCCATATGTTAGACCATTCAGATACATAGTCTAGATCTTTTTGAAGGGTAGTAGTATTGTCTGTGGTATTGAACAGCTTTACATCATCAGCGAAGAGAACGCAATTGCTCTTGATATGATCACAAAGGTCGTTTATGTAGATTATGAAGAGAGTTGGTCCTAGAACACTGCCTTGGGGAACACCACTATTGACAGGTACTGGATTTGATAGGGCGTTCCCAATTTTGACCATTTGTTGTCTGTTTGACAGGAATGCTTCTATCCAGTTATTCAGTTGTCCAGAGATACCATAAGATTTTATTTTTAGGAGTAGTTTGTCGTGTACCACTGAATCAAAGGCTTTGCAGAAGTCTATGTAGATTGCGTCTATTGCTTTGCCCTGGTCGAGTTGAGTAGTCCATATGTTTTTGCAGTGTAAGAGTTGCAGATTACAGGATAGTTTTTTTCTGAAACCAAATTGTTTATTGGAGAGTAGGTTGTTTGTCTCTAAATGGAGGATGATGGATTGGTTAATAATTGATTCCATGACTTTACAGGTGACGCAGCATAAGGAGATTGGTCTGTAATTTTCAACTAGGCTTGGGTCTCCCTTTTTGAAGATGGGAATGACTGTGGCTTGTAACCATAGGTTGGGCAAGGAGCTGGTTCTGAAAGATTTTTCAAAGATTATGCTTAGAGGTTTGGCTATGGCAGCGGATAGTTTTCTTAAGAAGTAGGCACATATTCCATCCGGTCCAATAGATAGAGATGGTTTTAGGTTGCGTAGTGCTTTTTCAACGTTGTCTACTGTAAAATCGATATGTATTAGATCATTATTGTTGTCCGTGGTACGGCTAGGAAACATTGGGCATGATCCATTACTGTTTACAAACACTGAGCCGAAGAATGTGTTAAAGATGTTGGCTTTAATGGTGTCGTCGCTGCAGTCTTTACCATCAGGTCCTATCAAGGGAGGGATGGACCTTGAGTCTTTTAGTTTGTTGTTTACAAAATTGTAAAAAGCACGGGTGGAATTGGTGCTTAGAAGGTTTTCCTCTTGTTTAATGTGGTAATTGGTGCATTCGGTCTTTATCTGGTGGCATAAATTTTTATATCGGTTTTTGAAATTAGCAACGTGACCAGATTTGTTTTTCCGCCAGAGTGATCTCTTTTTGGATTGAAGTTTCCTTATTGATATGGGTAATCTGCTTTTTTGTTTTGTTTTTGGAGTTGTTGTTGGAACATATAGTTTGATGACTCTTTTGACTTCAAGTAAAAATATGTTGTAATGGTCTTCAACAGTATTGCATCCAGTGAATAGAGATTGCCAATCGAGGGATGAGAGATCGTTATCTATAAGATCATAGTTGCCTTTTTTGAAGTTACAACTAGGGATGACATCGTTGTAGTTGCCAAGTATATAACTCCCTAACAGATAGGAACCACAGCATGCTCTTCTGCAAGGTCTGATGGAGCAGGCAGATATAGCTGGAGAGAGATAAACCAACATCATTCTATGAAGGGGTTTAAAGGTCAAAACCAACAGACTAGGATCCAATGCAGTTCCTGGAGCAGAGGTATAACATGCATTATTCCAGACGCCCGTATAACTACTGTAGCTGCACTGTTGCGTTAATGCCAGCTTAAGCTTCTGAATTCTCTTTAAGTGTCATATAGAGTGCATTACAGTAGTCCACTTTTTCTGGCAGATGCTGAGTCAATTCTCCATTTGACCCTTCGAGATCTCCAAGGCCCCTCTATCCAAGTGGGCACATGTCACCTGATATAGGGCTACAAGACAGATATCCACAGATGCAATAATACTAGGCAAGAATTGGTTTTTTGCCGCCACCACCACAAGATAGGCCTTAATAATAGCTCTAACCCGTATTTGCTACAGTTCATACCTTGCTGAGGTCCAGCAATGTTCTAGGTGTCTCTTCTCTCATTATATCTCTTTCAGATCCTTTGTGAACCACAAGGAGTGATTGGATCCATGAGAGGAAATAGGACGCATGGATGCAATGTGATCCAAACCCTAAGCCATCCCTCTTATTCCAAGCAATGCCTAAGGCTTCTGATGGAACATGCAGCAGAACAGTCTCAAATCAGTCTGGAACCCACCTGAATCCATCAATTGCAGGGATGGAACAGTCTAATGGATCTGGCTCCTTCCAGTGGATAATGATGCATTGTAATCAGAACATGATTTTGACCATGACAAGAGAAGCATCAATAGTCCCTCATTTCAGATCACATAGTCACAATTCCAGTAAGAACATCACAGTTGATGATGATACCCAAAAGTTATCTAACAACTCTATATGATGACTTGGCTTACCTTTAATTCCTTGGTCGGTTTGAAAGCTGGCAGTACATGCTGCATGAAAACAATAAGAAGCATAAATTGAAATATGGATGTTTTATGGATTCAGTCACGAATGTAACTATTATTTTGTTATTTGTTTACAAAGCTTTTAAATAGCAGATTTTACAATTATCATGAATTTTAAAAATCATTAATTGATTAATTAAATGTATAGAACTAAGTTAATTATGGCATTTTAAAAAATAACCACAAAATTATAATATTGATATTGATATCACCATTGATATTGTCATTATTCCATAGACAGTTGCATGTAGGTATGTGAAGTGGGGGGCAGGGGAGATATTAAAGGAAAAGGGGGAAATTACATTTAAAAAACTAAAAGAAAAAAAAATAAGTAAAAATAATATTGAAAAACTGCACAGTTTAAATTCCCTTCCATTTTACTTGACTGAATATTAACTCTATTTCTATTTGCCATCTATATAACATTTCATCTTAAAACTATACTCTAAGTGTCTGGGTTTATCTTGTTCTTTGACATAAGATGTATAAGAAAGCCATTCTTATTTAAATTTAGTCAACCTGATGTTCTGAATTTATGCTATTAATTTTGCCAGTAAAGTAAATAAATTTTTTTTGACAGATCAATTGTTGGATTAAAGTACTAGGATAATGGTACAGTAACTAGGAATCCCAAATATGACTTATAACAGAGCACACTTCTCATTTCACCAAGCCCAGTCCTTTCATTGTTTGCATGAAGAGCGTCTCTTTCCAGCATTGAAATAACTCAGTCTGTTCTATTGAATTGCCATTATGCACCCTTGTCCACTGTACTGGGTTAGCCCCTCCTTAGCTATAATGTGTCTGGGGAAAGAATCAAGGCTCAACTCATCAAATGGAACTTTCTGGTGACTTATTAAAAGATTCCCTGTGGTATTTAAAAAAAATGCAGCTTTGCTGTCATGTAGCTATCAATCCCTTTTAGAAATCGTTCATTTTTATGTGAGTAAAGACAATTTTTCTACTTCAACTCTTTGATTCCTGCCTGAAAGAAATGGTTTCAGAAGGCCTCTATTTTAAGGGGGGGGGGAGAATGTGCCCCAAAGGTTCCAGTTGTATTTTGTGAGAGGTAAAAAACTATAAAGTTTCTATCTAGCTCTCCTTCATTGAGCTCATGGAAAGTGATCCTTCATTACTCAATGCCAGGTTTTGATGAAATTGAATGAAATCAGATGAGAGGAAAGACGAGCTGCATCCTTCTTGGTCACGAACAACTGAAATAAGAGAGGCTCCCTGGGAAATCCTACCTGTTCTGTAATAAGTTTAATATATATATCATAAAAAGGGAGTTTCTTATTAATACGCTAAGGCTAGGAAAAGAGAACAGAGGAATAAAATCAGATAATTCATTCTCATTGCCAGACAAAAGATCTCAAAGCCTTCTCTCATCAGTATATCCCAGATGTGTGGCCTTTAACTCCCAGATTATAAAAATGAGCACATGCTGAAGCACATGTTTGAGGAAGAGCATATTGAAATAGTGCACAGTCTGACATTTGATGCTGATCCCCAAGAAATCTCTTGCTAGTTTTCCAATTCTGAAAGTTGCCTAGCTCCTTTGTTTTCCATCATACCTTTTCATCATTGTGAGAACATTGCCATGCAGTCAGTGTATCATATGCCATGTGTCATGTATGCCCAATGTGAACCTGAGGGATGAAATTTGGAGTCATTAAAAATATGGTAATTGATGGATAGTGAAATCCAGAAAGCACAGGAATAGTATCAAAAAGGAGAACTTGATATTTCTATGTATATAACTGATGCTGCTTGGGGAACAAAAGCTTGTTATCTGAAAGTTATTCTGATCTAAAGAAAGTATTGCTTAGGAACTACTAAATCCAACCCTACATGGAAAGCAATCCTGAAATTTAACTGAGTTCCAAGTTCCAGAAACGTGGAATAGTGTGATGCTTTTTCAGGAAGAGAAAGAGGAGGAAAGAAGGGAGGTACCGCATTATGCAGGGCCAAATAAAGAGAAAAGGATAAAAATAGCAAGGATAAAAAAAAAGAAGGGAATAACATCAGATAAACCTGTTTTGATTTATTTTATTTAAATTGAGGAAAAATATAGATCAGGGATCATAATCTGGGAGTTGGAGGGTGGGACTCACAGAGAAAATAAGAAGAAAACTATCCAGTGTAATGACAAGTTCTTTTAATATAACCATTATCCAGAAAACAGTTACATGTGGAAAGACTGATCCTCTTAAGAATCTTTCTCTGATTATTGTTCCTAGCCAGCCCCCTTGTTTATTACTTTACATATCAAACTTTCTTTAATTTTCTTTCCTTATGCTTTCCCAAAAATGAATATAAATATCACCTTTTAACATTAAATAGCAAATTGAAGAACACATTCTGCCATGAGTCCCTGCTTGTGAGGTAATGCATTTGTGATGGATGGATAGATGGATGGATGGATGGATGGATGGATGGGAAAGAAGGAAGTAAAGGAGGGAGGGGAAGGGGGAAGGAAGGAAGGAAGGAAGGAAGGAAGGAAGGAAGGAAGGAAGGAAGGAAGGAAGGAAGGAAGGAAGGAAGGAAGAAGAAATAGAGAGAAAAAAAGAAAGAAAGAAAGAAAGAAAGAAAGAAAGAAAGAAAGAAAGAAAGAAAGAAAGAAAGAAAGAAAGAAAGAAAGAAAGAAAGAAA